AATCTGTCCTTCATCGAAATGAAAATAAACAATCTGACTCCGTAAAATGTGCCACCCCTCTCCCTCAAAATCAAGTAGTTGTCCCCTAACAGGAAGTCAGTGCTGCTAAAAAATTGTCTTAATGTTTCATCGTACCTTAGCAGTATTTAATTTATGATAAACTTGTACATCTATATATTTTAAAAAATATCTGTTTAAAAATAAAATTTAATCTTTTGATGTAACAGGTGTATTTGCGATTTTTTTTAATAATGGCTTCTTTCTTAATAAAACAAAACTGATAATTCAAATACGATCAAAGGAAAAAAGGTCAGTTGAACCTTGTGTCCATATCGTTTCGCGATACCAAGTGAGAACAAATCAATCGCAATTTCTCGGGCCTTTCCGACAAGCCGAAAAAACAACCACTTGTTTTTCCTAGTTTGCAGGAAAGGCCCGAGAAGATGCGATTGATAACAAATAATTAAACTTTTTTTTAATATTTCCAGTGCCGATCATTCGAATAAGCCTTCTTCACTAAATTACCAATACCAACAAAAGTTTTATCTAAGTATTGTATCGACTATACAAATCGTAAAAAGCCTTCATTATTTGTGATAAGTTGTTGCTTAAATAATATAACACTAAACTACCAATTCCAAAAAAAGTTATAGCTAAATAATGATATACTGAAGAATTTAATAAAACAAAAATCATTGCAGATTTCTTTTTCATTGTGACGTCGTAATCAAATGTGCAGAAGAAAGTTGCCCAAATCATATAAATTGCGTACCCAGTTTTAACGACGTCAGCAAACCCGCGACCTACGTTAAGGTCAAGTATTTTTTATTGTTTTTCTTAGGTTGTTGATTGAGTTTGATCATGTAACATCTATCATTTGTGAATATTGAGCGTTTTTTTTAGCATTTTTTAGCATCTAAAATGTATTCCAAATGTACCCATGGTTACCAGTTATTAAGAGATAAATTCTAAATAGTTTCTTTATAGCATAGGTGGCAACAAGGTGTCATGTTTTTGGGAGAATGATTTGTTTGTTTTTCTTAGTCTTTATTAAGGCTCAATAAAGATTCAGAGTAGCTGAAAATCTCAATTTTTTTCAACTTTTCTGGCTGTTACCATAGCAACCAAGACACATAGCAACGAGATTTTATTTGATATATGTTTCTGGTGTCAAGTTGTAATAATGGGCAAAGTTTCATCAAAATCGGTGACGATGCGTGGCAAAGAAGTTTAAGTGGTTTCAGAGAATCGCTATTAATTTGTATTCAACTGAGAGGAGTTATTCCCCTTTGCTATATACTTTTGATAATTAATCACTGTAAATAATGTACTTGAAAGGTTAATAGAATAGGAGAATTATGCAAGATTTTTTATTGTATAATACAAAAAGTACTTTTATAGTTTAAATGATCAGGTAGACTTGTAAGTAATAGATAAATAAAAAATGAGACAAAAATAACTTGTCTTATTCAATGTTCATCAAAGACCAAAGGAGTCCAATGTAAGAGATTTCATCAAGGAATTAAAATAGTACAGAATCAGTGATAATTTGTTAATATACTGTATGGTGATAGTGATAAATGGGGAACAGATTAGAACCTACTTTATGAACTGTTAATGAACACTAGACTAATTATTTTGTTGATCCTGATCACCCTATTTTTCTTGCTTTTGGGCAACAAAGCTTCACCTTTCAGTTCATTTTATACTCTACTAGATGAAATCCCGCGCAAGCGCGGGGAATTGAATTTATACCACTACCGATAGAAAATATTATGTAATTTCTACTGACAGTCTACAGGCTTATAGCAGGAAGAAATACTTTGTTCAAAATCCCGCATGAAGTAAATGTACATGTATGTCTCCACCCCCATCCACCTCCCTTTTTGTAAGAAATTGAAAAATAACAATTTCATTAATTGATGTTTATTATGAAACCTGCTATACTATGTTATGGATATTGTACTTCAGATGCTCTTATTTCATTTCCGTCAAGGATAAAATCAGCGAATATACACATTTTACTGATAAATTTATTTATTCTTTGTCTTTTTTGGGGGGGAGGGGGTTAAAAATTCACAGGTACTTGAGTCTTGGTTCATAAATATGTATGTACCTTATTGATATGTAAAAAATATACTTTTATTTACTTTTTTTTTTACATATCAATAAGGTACATACATATTTATAAACCAAGACCCAAGTACAGGGTCTGTGTGAAAATTAGCTTATAACGCCTTATGAATAGGCCGAGTATTTGATACAAAGACGTGTATTCAGAAAAAAAACTGAAATGTATTGATTAAAACACAAAATTTTACAGTTTTAATTGTATTTGAACAATACCTTATTCATTAATTTTCTCTTTTCATTTAAGCAAGTTTATTACAAAGTACATGTACAAATTGTACTTCAAGTTCATTGCCATGATGCTTTCAGTAAGGAATATAGGAATATAAATTATATATACAAATTTTACTGATAAATTTATTAGAAAGCCTACTACATATATGTAGTAGTCTTTTGATATATAAATATATTCACAACTTATAGTGTTATCAATGATTTGCCATTTTTCAATGACCATTCACACGAAAGCTTTTTTTATGTTCTTGCAGCTATAGTTGCCTTGTTTTTCTTTTTAACATCGGGTTCGATGCTATATGATGTTCTAGAAGCTTCCTTCAATATTTAGATCGGTGAATGACAAAAATAATTTGGACATTTCCCTTTTTAGTTGGTTATCACAATCTTTTTCTTTTATATCATTTAAATCAAGCTTTGATTGAATAAATCAGTGTTGACATTTTATGAAATAAATAAACAATTGCTTGTTGTCAGTTTCATTAAAACTTTCCAGTAATCTAGATCCGCCAACCGGAAACGTCACTGTACTCACATTTTTGCTATTTCATGGCTGTTTATATAAAATAAAAGTAGACTTTTAATTTAATGTACGATACTTACTATGCGAGTGAAATCTAAATATAGTTTATGGACATCATCTTGTATATAGTGTATTGTTAGAGGAGTAAGTAAGAACTCTGGTGCACCCGTTTCGGAGTTTATTTGCAAAATTTATTAATTTATAAGTATAGATGGATCCTCTAAATTCTTGTATTATACTCAGGTGACCGTTAAGGCCCTTGGCCTCTTGTTTTGATAAGGCGCCAGCTGGCGCCTAAATTTTAGAGGCCACTTAGAGGCCTGTTTTGTACATTATTTTCCTAGAAGGCAGAAAACTATAGAAGATAAATTTTGAAAGAATTTTCACATAATTATTTAATTTATATTAACCAAAACAAATTTGTTCATCATAATCAATATCAAATTGAGTACCCTGAATTAGTTTAGCTGGAATTAGACCAAAACCGTATTAGTGATTTGAAAAAATTTGACAACTTATTAGTCCCCTACCAGTGAAACCAGATGGGACTATCTGTCCGTCTCTCTAGCTGTCTGTCTGTTCGTCTGTCTGTCCCTCTGTCTGTCTGTCAGTCTGTCCCACTTGGTTTTCCGCACTTTTTTTCAAATGCTTGTAGATATTGAGATGACTTCTGGTATGTGAGTGTATCTTGATGAGTTACAGATCAAGTTTGCATTTTGTTCCGCTCCATTGATTTCTGACAGAATTACGACCTTTTCAATTTCTAAGGGTTTTCCGCAATTTTTTTCAAAATGCTTGCAGATATTGAGCTGATTTTTGATATGTGATTTACGTTGATGAGTTATAGATCAAGTTTACATTTTGTTCCACTTCATTGATTTTTAACAGATTTATGGCATTTTCATTTTTAACGGGAACCAGATTACACTTGCTGGTAGGGGACTAGTATTGCTAATGCAATATTCTCAAAATGCTTGTTTTTGTTTGTTACTTCTTACTTCAAGTGCACCAAGTTTTACTGGCTAGAGACTTACAATGGGGGATTTACTAGGTGTATTTGACATTGATAATAAAAGCAGGCCTATATGTAGCCTTAAAATTTCTTCTTTTGTTGTTGTGTTTCATGATACACTGTCTCTTTTTCTAAGTAATTTAATTTAAATAGAAAAAGCACTAGTGTGAAGTGTGTGTGTCCTAAATACTCTTGAACAGTGTTCTTGAAATACTATATAGTGCTATTTGACCTTTCAGTCCTAACTTACTAGTAAATAGGTAGCAAGCAATAGGGTTACACATGCCTATTCAGTCAAAAGTCTGGAGTATTGTATCTTCTTACCAATGTTGTGGAGATATTATGTAGAGATTCATTGGACAATGTACACTCAATCTTATGCAAAAAATACAGATGTAAGATGTGACCAAAAAGAGGTCAAAACATTAAGGTCAGAGTTACCCTGAGTCCAAACAGTGCTGTGGAAATATGTAAAGTAACATTTGCTAAAGAGATGGTATAGATGACAAGAAAAACATAGATATATTTGAAGACCTAGAGGGCTGGAACAAAGTTAGTGTGAGTTCATGATATGTAGAACTTTCTGTATCAAACTTACTACAGAGTTGGTAGATTACAAGGAAAACAAGTCTGGAAAAGTGAGAGTGAACAATTCAAAGATCAAGAACAAAAACTTTGTTAAGTGTAAACTAAGCTGTGGGCACAATTTAAAGAGAATTAATTAACTTTTCTGTCTCACACTTGCTATAGAGATGAATGGTAGCCAGAGGAAAATGCTCATTGATTCCATAGTGAAAAAGTCAAGGTCAGAGTTGTGATGAGTGTTAATTAAGTTTTGTACACAGTATATGGAGTATAACTATGCATTTCAGTCTTATAATTAGTACAGAAATGCGAGTACCCATGGAATTCCAGGGCCAATAGGTCAAAGGTCAGTTAGACTGATGGTATTCAGAATGTAATGATCACCATATAAATTTGTTGATTGAGCAATATGTTCTTTGAATGCAGTTTTGTTGCAATGAGATTCTCTGTTTTGCAGTGCCCTTGTTTTAATTTTCATCTTTTTTGCTAGCTTTTTATTCAATTTCTGATTGACAGTGGGATTAAAAACAATAGGAAGCAGTTTTCCTGTCTGGGCTCTTGTTCTCATCATTGGAATAATACTCAGTCTTCTGGTTTTCTTCACATCTAAAAATGACGAACAACCAAAATATCACCCAGTAAGTATTTTTTTCCCAGCATTCTTTGAAATAAAACTTTATATAAAATCAGCTGAAATATTTTTATATTAATAAGACATGGTATGTAAAATATCACGTGACTAATGGCCAGTGTGGTCACGGTCTAATTTCGAGGAGGGTTCAAGTCAATTTGTGCTGGAAAGACAAATCTGTGATTCCCTTAACTTTGCAGAGGTGTTTATTTCTGCTTAAAGCACGGTTCTGTGGTAATTTTGAAGTTTTTGTGTGTGATTTGGGAGTTAAACATTTAAAGAAGTAATGCCATTTCAAAACAGAGAGGATGAGAACAGTTCACGCAGTAATCCTACCCTCTCGTCAGAAGTCAGTGGGGCGTCACTTCAGATGTCCGCTATCCACGATAGCCTTCGGACAATTACTGGTAAATTGGACAGTATAAACATTTTGCAACAATCTGTAAATAACATGAACAGAGATCTATGGGATGAAGATGGCCTAGACGATCGTATTAAATACATTGGCCAACAGCACGAGGATAATGTTGGAGAAATTGAAACTTTGAGATTGGAAAATAATTATTTGCGAAAAGAACTCGAGGTCTTATGGACCTTAGAGGTAGATCCATGAGGGACAATATCCTTGTGCATAATTTAGCTGAGGAAGAGCAGGAAGATCTAAGTACAAAAGTGAGTGAGCTGATCAAAGAGCATTTAAATTTGGATGTTAGCTTTATTAGGATTCACAGAAACGGTCAGAGATCAACGGGAAACTCTAGGCCTAGGTCAATTACGGGGAAATTATATAATTATAGTGACAAAGATCTTATTCTCCAAGCGATGCGCCAAAAGAGGGAAGATGGCACAACTGACAACATGCCGTTTTATATCACACCGCAGACTCCTCTGCAAATTAATGAAAATAAAAAGAAACTGCAAGAGATGAATGCTAAGTATAGAGAAAATGTGAAAACAAAGATTGTGGGGAACAAGCTCGTATTCCCGAATGGATCTGTGTATCGGGATAAGGTTCTACCACCAAGAGCCGAGGACCTCCTGATGCTCGACAGAGAAGAAATTGAGAAACTAGAAGAAGTTGAGGTTAATAAGAGTGATACGGTTACAGAGGATGGGAATGTCTTTACATCGTTGGTTGCAGAAATTCAAACCTATGCACAAGTCAGGAACTTGTACAAAAACGTCTTGCGCAATCCAGATTATGCTTGTGCTAATCATAACATTTTAGTGTATAGGTTCAAAGATGCACAGGGGCGAGTTCACGATGGTTACTGTGACAACGGGGAGTATGGAGCCGGGCATCGAATGCTGAAGGTACTTGTTAATGCGGAAGCATCAAATACTGCAATTATTATTTCGAGGAAAAATGACAGGCATTTGGGACCCCGTCGCTTTGAAATTATGAGTGAACTTGTCAAAAAGCGGTTAGACACACTTACTAAATATTTTACATTGAAAAAAAACAACAGTTAAATAGAAATCTTGTACAATATGTAAAAGTGAAATTTCTATTTTTCCATCCTTATCTCTTTTTTTTTTTTTTTTTTCTTCTTTTAAGAATATTTTTTTTAGACTATTGCATTTATTAACTTTCCGGGAAAACATACGTTAACCATACATACTCATGTTTTACTCGGCAATATTCGTTTCCGATAGTAATTGTTTTGGGAATTACCATTGCTTTTTTGAGGTAAATACAGATTGATTTATTCCTTTTCTCCATTAGGAGATATGTTCAATCGGCTGGCGTTAGCTTTAGCCTTTTGTTTGTGTAAATATGCAACATTTTTTTTCTTTTTTGTATTCATCTCTTTCCTTCTCTTTCTTCACTACGGGCACTATTTTGATTCTTTGTTGATGTTCCTGTATGGATACGATTAAAGAAAACCATTTAAAAATACTCACAGTTAACTGCCAAGGTCTCGGAGATAAAAATAAAAGATTAGATGTTTTTAATACTCTAAGAAAAAAGAATTATAATGTTTATTTTCTACAAGATACTCATTTTATAAGTGATGATGAAAAAATTATTCAAGCACAGTGGGGCTGTCAGGCTTTTTTTAGTTCTTTTAAGTCAAATTCACGTGGAGTAGCAATACTGTTTAATAATAACTGTGAAATAGATATTCACAGACACTTAAATGATGAAAATGGTAATTATTTAGTTATAGACTGTGCTATTGAGGGTGTACAATTTATATTAGTTAATATCTATGGACCTAATTCAGATACACCAGTTTTCTATTCTAATCTGATGAATGAGATAGAAAATTTATATACAAATCAGGAAATTATCATGGCAGGGGACTTTAATTTAGTTCTAGATAAAGAAATAGATTCCATGAACTATAAAAATTTAAATAATCCCAAAGCAAGATTGGAAGTTATGAATTTAATGGAAAAGTTAAATTTAAAAGATGTGTTTCGTGAAAACTATACACAAGTTAGACGCTATTCTAGGAGGAGAAAGACACCTTTAAAACAGGCTAGACTTGATTTTTTTCTTATCTCTGAATCATTGGTCCCTTCTGCTACTTGTATTCAATATGAAAATAGTTACAGATCAGACCATTCCCCAGTTGTAATGTCCATAAAGATAAATAACTTTGTAAAAGGCAAAGGTTTTTGGAAGTTTAACAATTCCCTTTTAACAGATAAGGATTATTTAAAACTGATAAAGGAAAAAATAAATGAAGTGAAAACTCAGTATGCTTGCCCAGTATACAACATGGTCAATCTTAGTAGTATCAATAATGAATTCTTATTTTTTACTGTCAATGACCAGTTATTTTTAGATATTTTACTTATGGAAATTAGAGGAAAGACTATTTCTTATTCAACATATAAGAAAAAAAAGATGATCGAAAGAGAATTAAATTTAGAAAAAGAGATTCTATATTTAGAACAAAATCTGACGGAAAATTTACTCGCAACCCTTACAAAGAAGCAATCAGAACTTGAAGGTATACATAAGACTAGATTGAAGGGACAGGTTATTCGATCTCGAATGAAATGGATTGATGAAGGAGAAAAACCAACCAAATATTTTAGTCAGTTGGAATCTAGAAACTATATAAGTAAACAGATACCAAGAATAGAAAAAAAAAATGGTACTATTGTTTCTGAACAGTATGACATTTTGAATGAAACTAAATTATTCTATGAAAATCTATATAAAAAAAGAGATATTTTAGAGAATGAAAATTATAGTGAAAAACTAGCAGAATATAAGGATATCCCAAAGTTATCCTTAGAGGAATCTCAAAGTATAGAGGGCCCTGTAACAAAAAAGGAGGTACTTAATTGTCTTAAACAAATGAAGAATGATAAAAGCCCAGGTCCAGATGGATTTACTTGTGAATTCTTTAAATTTTTTTTGATAGATATTGGCACATTTGTGACGCGTGCAATAAATGACTCGTACGTAAAACAAAGTTTCTCTGAATCCAACAAACTAGGTGTAATAACTTGTATTCCAAAAACTGGAAAACCACGACAATTTTTAAAAAACTGGCGTCCTATAAGTCTCTTGAATGTTGTATACAAATTAGCATCTGGATGTATTGCTGAAAGAATAAAAATTTTCTTAGATAAGTTAATACATGGAGACCAAACTGGGTTTATCAAAGGCAGATTTATTGGAGAAAATATTAGATTAATATACGATATCATGCATCAAGCTGAATTAAGAAAAATACCTGGTCTTCTAATGTTTATTGACTTTGAAAAAGCATTTGATACAATTTCATGGAATTTTATACACCAAACATTATGTTTTTTTAATTTTGGTATATCAATTAGAAATTGGATAAAATCTTTCTATAGCAATATCAAATCATGTGTTATTCAAAATGGGATTGTGTCCAAATATTTCTGTCCTGGGAGAGGTTGTAGACAAGGGGATCCTATTTCCCCTTACTTGTTTTTACTCTGTGCAGAGATATTAGGTATTTTGATTAGAAAAAATAAAGACATAAAAGGTATAACCATTGATGGTGAAGAGTATAAGTTATCACAATATGCAGATGACACTTCTGTTATTTCTGATGGTTCTCCAAGCTCATTAGATGGAATTACAAGAGTATTAGATTATTTTGCTGCAATTTCAGGATTAAAGATAAATTTTACAAAAACAAAACTGATCTGGATTGGAAGCAAGAAATTTTCAAAAGAAGTGTTTCATCACTCCAGATGGAAGTTTGATCCAAATAATACAACCTTCGATTTATTAGGGGTTCAGTTTTCTATTAATCTGGATGGAATAGTAGAAATGAATTATAAATTAAAAATAGAAGAGATTAAGAAAGCCATGATACAATGGAAAGCTAGAAAGCTCACTCCTCTTGGAAGATTGACTGTAATAAAAACATTATTAATTCCTAAACTAAACAATCTAATCCTAACATTACCAAATCCCAGTGAAGAAGTAATAAGTGCTTTTGAAAAAGACTTGTATAATTTCCTTTGGAATAAGAAGAATCATAAAATTAAGAAAAATGTTATAATTCAAGACTACAGATATGGTGGTCTAAAGATGATAGATTATAAAGAATTTGTTACATCATTGAAGGCAAGTTGGATAAGACGGGTAATACATTCAAAAGCCAAATGGGTCAGCTTACTTGAGGCAGAATTAAAAACAAGTATAAATCATCTTTGGGTGTTTGGAATTGATTATATTAAGAATTTAGGCAATAACTTGAGAAATAAATTCTGGAAAGATGTATTTTTTAGCTGGTCTAAAGTATATCAGAATGAAGCTATGAATGGTTTAACACTCCAGCAAGAACATGTTTGGTACAATCCAAAGGTCACCATTGGTGGCCGGTCAATTTTTATTAAAAGTTATTTTAATTCTGGTTTTGTTTTTATTAATGATTTCCTTGATCCAAATGGTAATATTTATAGTTTTAATCATATTCAAAATAACTTTAATGTGAAAACAAATTATATTGAATATGCAGGACTAAGAACTGCTATGAGAAAGAGACTAGCCTGTTTTAAAGATTACAAAACAATTTCAATTTCCAGACCACTTATTCCTGCTAGTTTACTTATTTTTTTCAAGAGTAAAAAAGGGTGTAAAGATATGTATAATCTTCTCATTAAAAATAAAAAGGGTGAAATAAGTTCAGTTATAAAATGGAGAAAAGAAGGAGAACAATTTTGTGAGGCATCATGGGAAAAAATATTTGAGCTACCATTTAAAACAACTCAAGAATCTAAATTTCAATGGTTACAATTTCAAATTTTACATAGAATAATTCCTACTAAAAGTTATCTTTACAAATTAAAATTAATTGATTCACCGTTATGTTCCTTCTGTGATACTGATATTGAAACTATTGATCATCTTTTCGTTGATTGCTTCTGTGTTAAAGAACTTTGGTTGGAAATTGAAGAATGGATTTTGAATAAACTAAACCGGTTAGTTTGTTTCGATATGAAATCAATCTTGTTTGGTAAATTTACAAACAGAGAACAATACAAGTTTGAAAATCTCCTTATTATGACTATCAAACAGTATATTTTTTCGAGTAAGTTCAAAAATCCAATAAAATTAAGCATTGAGGAATTAAAACATGTAATTACTGACAGAATTAGAGTTGAAAAGTTTTTACTGTTAAAAAACTGTAAATTTGAGGAATTTACAAGACACTGGCAGGAAATTGTTGAAAAATTGTAAGAATTCAAAAATCAATTTTTATTAATATTTTGAAGGTTCAGTGCCCCTCCTTTCTCATCCCTCTTTCCTCTCCATCTTCCCCCCTCTTCTTTTCTATCTTTTCTTAATCCCCCCAAAAATAAAATTCTTTCACACATTTTTTTTTCTTAATATAACTGTGACTGTTTGTATTTATAATTTGTGTGATTGAAGAATAAAAAAAAAAAAAAAAAAAAAAAAAAAAAAAAAAAAAAAAAAAAAAATAAGACATGGTATTTCATATAATCAATATGCTTTGTTTCATGCTTATCTAAAGTATAATTTGTTACCATGAATATTTTGTTTTCAGCTGTTTGCCTATGTGGGTTTTGTAGTAGCAGTGGTCTGGATATATTCTGTAGCCAATGAAGTGGTCAATATTTTACAGGTACATGTGTTGATGTAGCTTCAATATTTTTTTTCATGAATTCTTGACGCATTTGGACATAGATATTTTTAGGTGTATTGCCATGATGTTTTTCCTTTTTTTAAAATTTTAATTCTGCAACTTTAAGTTTAGGTTTTGAAGATGTTGATTGGCCAACTTTCATTTGGGAACAAGTAATAGCAAATAAAATTAACATCAAGTAGTTCATAATGACACAAAAAGCTACTTTGATAATTGCAATTTTCGCAATCAGTATTTCTTTGTGTTTTTTCTGTTTGTTTCTGAAAAGCTAATTTATTGTATTTTTCTATGTTTTCAAAAAAAAAAAAAAAAAAAATCATAAAAATTGGGGAAATTTAAGAAATTGTTCTAATTTATGCCTCTCTTGTGGCCTCCCTGACAATCCCTGTATGCTTTGATTCAAAATTAATGATAGCTTTCAAGTTAAAAAAAAGGCATTGTGGATATTGCCTGGCAATTTTTATATAATAAATACCAGCATATAAAGAGTAATGATTGACCTAAGTCAGAAAATATTCAAGTTTTGCAATATCCTGGATCTTCTGTTTTCTATGAAATAAATTGAATATGGGGGAACATATTTTTCTGGAATACTTTAAAGTTGTTGGGGAAGTAATTTCTTTAGGGAATGTCGTGTTACAAAAACATCAGTTTTATTTCAATATTTGTGGCTAAGGTTACCTGAGAAATCAACAAAAGTTGATCCCCCCCAAAGATTATCTAAAAAATTATCTAGCATTTTTAATCAGACATTCACACTCTGATACGTATTCATTGGAGCTTTTCAAGTGTGTCACACATTTCCTATGACCTTGACCCCACCATTCCTAATTTTGCATTGAACTTAGTTTAAAAAATGGTTCATGATATTTTTTATAAAACTTCATACAAAGTTACAAATTAATGAGAGCTATTCAACTCTATCGTATTTTTTGCTCGCCTGAGCCAAGGCTCAAGTGAGCTTTTTTAATCAAAATTTATTCATTGTCTTTTGTTGTTGTCATGTTCATTGTCATTGTTGTAAACATTGCACACTTCCATATTCCTCTGTAGAACCACTGGGCCAATTTCAACTAAACATGGCACTGAGTATTTTTGGGTAAAGGGGATGCAAGTTTATATAAATGAAAGGCTTACCCTCTTCCAAGGGGAGATAATTAAGAAAGTGTAAATTGGAGAGGTCATTTAGAAATCTTCTTCTCAAGAACCACTGGGCTAGATGTGAAAGCTTTCTGAGGTAGTGTAGATTCAAGATTGTTCAAATCATGACCTCTTGGGGTAGGGTGGGGCACCAATGGCAGTCAAAATTTTACAGAAGAATATATATGAACAACCTTTTAAGGCTTTAAAACAAAGCCATGATTAGTAATATTTATATGGAAGCATCCTCAGGTAGTGTAGATTTAAGATTGTTCAAATCATGACCCACAGGGGTAGGATGGAGACAACATATTATCTTACTTTACATTGGAATATATAGGTGAAAAATCTGCAAATAAAGAACAGAAGTACTATAGTACTTAATTCAGGTGAGCTTTGTGCATAAATTCTGCACAGTCAAAATTTCTTAGAATATCACCCATTGTGAAACAATGTTGACTGTTGCTACATTCTAACACAATGTAGGGCATGGTTTCATTTTTCAAAGGGTAAAAGGTAAATTTTCTTCGACAATCAAATTCAACACATGAAAGTATATTATACAATTATGGACTCTTTTGGTAGTAAATATGGTATGTTATTCACCAGAAAATACCAGTATTGATATTTTTCTAGTGAGTAACAAATAACAATATGCCTGTAACCTGGTTCCTGTTGTAACTCATGTATCTGTGGTTTTTATTGACTTTAAATTTAATTATTGTAGACGTTTGGAGTGGTATTTAGTATAAGTAATGCTGTGTTAGGACTTACTCTGTTGGCCTGGGGTAATAGTGTTGGAGGTATGTATATGTGAGTGTTTAGTGCTATTTTGTATTCTATTATTAGGAATTTGCCACATGTACATGATACGACTCTTTAATTACAGATTTTATAGCTGACACTGTGATGGCCAGACAGGGTTTCCCAAGGATTGGTATATCAGCTTGCTTTGGAGGCCCATTGTTTAGTATCCTTAAGATTTCATTTTAGTGACCAGCAATATCTACACTGCATCATGGATCTATCTGTATCATACTGTATTTAGCTTGAAAATATGTAAGGAAAAATTTCTCAGGTGTCAGCCTATTTAGACCCTAAATAAAGGTTGGAAATAAGGAATTTTTAGCGACAAAGATCCCATCTGTTTGATGACATAATTATATAACTTTCAAGAAAAGCTGGGTAAATGATTCATGAATAAAACTTAAATTATTAATTCACCCAAAATCAAAGGTTCAATTGGACTTTTTTGATTTGTTTGTGTGTCGTTGTTGTCCTTAACTTTTTAAAGTTTCATAGTGAGTATGGTTGGGCCGCACTAGGGAATAAAAGTTTTACATGGGAATGTATAGGAAAATATGTTTTATAAATCTTCTAAAAAACAGTAATGCTATGAGAGCTGATTCAAATCATGCCTCCTCCCTAGGGTATCATAGGGCCAAAAAAAAGGTTCAAACTTTTACATGGAGGTTTGTAGGAATACATCTTTGAAAAATCTTTTTCAAAAACTACAGGGCTACAATATTTAAAAAAAATCCTCTTCTCAAAAAAAAATGTAAGTATTCCAAACTAATGCAGATTAATATTTGTACAAATTAGGTCCCTAGGCTAGGGCATTAGATATTTATTCAACATTTAATATGGAAATGTACTAAAAATGTTTTTTTTTTTTAATGTTGCAGGATGACACAAAATTATATTGATATGCAAGCATTCCCATATCATTAGATTTAGGTTTGTTCAAATTATGGACATTGGTGAGGATGGGGCTAAAATTGAGATTAAATTCCACATTATGCTTTTATAGGGAATAATTTTCTCCAGATCAGCAAGTCAACATAAAACAGTGATATTCAAACTTCCCATGTAGTAATGATTTAAATTTAGTTAAGTTATGATCCCTTGAAGCTACATTGGGGCAATATTGATATGTGAAAATTTTTTTATGAGAATATTAAGAGAAATATTTTTTTTAAAAACAACCTTTTAAAGAACAGCAGTAAAAGTGACTCGGGTGCATTGTGGCCCTTTTGTTTTCAGACTGTTGATGGTTTTTAATCTTCCATGTACATGTATAAATATATATAAGTCATATTACTGATATTCATTCCTTAAGAGATAAGATTTACTTTTAGGTATAGGGATTCCTTTTACAATAGCCACTGTAAAGAATGGAGACTATGACGTAAGTTTAAACTTTGATATTGAAATCTACTTATGATGTCAATTCTTTTTTGAAAGCTCCATTATCTTTTGGGAATGGAGAGTTGTAACATGGAGAATTTATATTATGTACAAGTTTTCCCTAACATAACTCTTGATGTAAAGCTTATTATAACTAAGCAAAATGTTGTAAATGCATCCATTTAATTGTGGTAACTATCATGATCTCTCTTCTCTAATTTTATGAAACTTTATGGTTTACATGTGGCCTTCTTAAAGCAAAAATGCCCTAGGAATTTCTTTTTCAGAATAGTGGAAACCCATAACAGTTCTTGAAAAGTATCTGATTTTAACATACCATTATATAGTGAAATGTGTATTTGTTCAATTGACAGCCATATAAAAATGAGCAATGTCATTTACTGTCAGGGTTCCGTATGTTCCACATTTATCTTGGTTGAGTACTTCAGGAAAGAAAGTCTCTAGTTCCCATTATGGAGAAAATTTCCACATAAATTATAAGTCCCTATCTTTATCAAATAAGAAAAGGTGGTCTTGGCATTAATGTTTGTAAAAATGTTTCCAGTAATTAAACTGGCCAGCCTTTAATATACATGGTCTATGATCTGTATTTCCCTAATGCCATGATGTCATCTATCACCAATATCCTGGGCTTATCCTCTGCTTGCAGCCAGCTCCTTATTGCTTTACAAAGTGTTGCTGCCTAACATATCCATTCTGTTTTAGCAGGATTCCTTCTACATCTGAGTCGAAATATGTATAGCAGACTTTGGATCAGGTATATCCTCTACCATTACTTGAGTTTGTAGGGTTTCCTTGTTACATGCTACATTCAGCCTTACTTTGATTTGTCAAACCTTGCAGATTTTTTAGGTGTCCTTGTCAGTTGGTATGAAGAATTGATGTAGCTTGCTTCCAGTTGAGCATGAACAAGACTGCATTCCAGGTGGTAGTACCAAATGTCTTGAAACTTGAAAGTCTTAGTGCAAACACTTGAATGGACTTTTTTTTCCATTTAACCAATTTCTATAGCCAAATTAACTCCATCTAAGGAACATTATAAATAGACATTGGGACCTTTTTCCCCAAGAAGTTTTTGAAACATTGTTGGTACAGTAATATTACTTCACGTACCTTCACAGTGTGCCGAGACCCATTTTCATGATCTGTGTGGAAGCCGATAAACCACATGCACATGCTGGAAAGTTCCTCTACCTTTTTATGTCTCTGTTCACATGAAGTTTCAAAGTATTTCGTCAGAACTGTCACTTCTGCATCTGTGAACTTGACTAATTCCTCTTCTGAAGCTAATGTGAGTCTCTCCACTTCCAAAGTCCCTTTGCATTTGCTTGAATATCTGCCTGCATTAGATTGATAAAACAGTCTGTATCTTCCATGGTCAGTCAGAAACAATTACATGTAGGTGTGTCCTCGGGGATAATTGTTATTTAATGAAAAAAGTTAAAATCTTATCTACACTTTCTGACTCACTGGAAACATCCACATTTTCTGTTATTTTGTGTGACTTTTTTTCTGCTGTCGCCCACATGGCGCAGTGGTTAGAGTGTCTGCTCTAGAGTCGCGAAGTAAGGAGTTGATCCTTACGTCGCGGGTTCGAATCCCATTGTGGGACGTGGAGACCGGTCCTTCGGATGAGACCGTATAAACCGAGGCCCCGTGTCGCAGTAGGTGCTGGCACGAAAAAGATCCCTCACTGCTCAATGGCCGTAAGTGCCGAGTATAGGACAAAATTTGCAGCTCTCCACCGGCAAGTGATGGCGTCTCCATATGAGTGAAAAATTCTCGAGAGGGACGTTAAACAACATACAATCAATCAATCAATCTTTTTCTGCTGTTCTTGAGTATCTATTGTTGTTTCTTTAATTTATGTTGTATAAGTTATATTGTACTGATTAACGTCTACCATTGAATTTGCCATATGTTCCATGATAATAATATGGATGTCTTTGGAAACTGCGAATATTATGTCCTGTAGTTTAATCTCGGTTACTTTTTTCCTCTCGACTTATCTTCAGTAGTAATGTATTGCCTTCAGACAGATCTCTCTCTGAACTTTACAGATAATAGCAATTGAATTCCAAGATTGGTACCTGTGGATGTGGTATGCACAGTTTGATTTCTTTTGCCATCTTCAGAGCACCTTTCCTTATATGCAGCTGTCCAATGGGATTCATGTTGATTGTGCTGAAAGCTTTTACAACTCTTCTGTGTTTTTTTCCATGAGATGCCATATATTCTTTTGTAATTGATAGATTATCAACATCTTGTCCTTTAAAATTATGTGATTGCTCAACAAAGACAGAACACATTGCTAGATTCCATTTTGATGACATAGGTTTTGGACCTCTTCCACAATTGGTCTGATATCTCATTTGAATGGCTGTGCTCCTTCAACAACTAGCAGTTTGAGACCCCTCTGATTGAATGCTTTGACCATTTTCTGTGCAACATAAATACACCATTGCTTCTGTACTTTCTCATTTTGAAGCTGATAAACCGATGAAGGTTTCCTACCAATTCTATAGGGGTTTTGATAACAGGTCCAGTAAAACTTTTGTTAATGCAGTTTCCATAATGCACAGATGTGGAAGAAAATTCTATCAAACACTCTGCCTTGGTGCACTCTTGCTTTTGTAACTCCTATTATCTGCCAAAGAATTGACAGGGAACTTGGACGTTTTGGATTTTCAGTGCATTTTTAGCTCTACTGGTCAGAGACCAGAAGAGCTTATGCGATAGTAAGGTGTCCTCATCTGTCCGTCTGTCTGTCCGTCTGTAAACAATTTTTCAAAACGCTACTCCTCCTACAGTTTTTGTCTGATTTCAGTATAACTTGGCACACAAGTAGACCATACTAAAATACATAATTTTATATTTCAGTTTTTGATTTCAATGAATGGTGTTGCCATGGTTACTAAAAATAGAAATTTCTGTGAAAAACTTTCAAAATGCTACTCCTCCTACAGTTTTGATCTGATTTCAATGCAACTTGGCACACAAGTAGACCATACTAAGATACATAATTCTTTTTATCGATTTTTGATTTCAATGAACAGTGATGCCATGGTTACTAAAAATAGAAATTTCTGTGAAAAACTTTCAAAATGCTACTCCTCCTACAGTTTTGATCTGATTTCAATATAACTTGGCACACAAGTAGACCATACTAAGATATCTAATTCTATATATCGGTTTTTGATTTCAATGAACGTGTTGCCATGGTTACTAAAAATAGAAATTTCTGTGAAATACTTTCAAAACACTACTCCTCCTACAGTTTTGGTCAGATTTCAGTATAACTTGGCACACAAGTAGACTACACTAAGATACATAACTCTTTTTATCAGTTTTGGATTTCGATGAATGGTGTTGCCATGGTTACTTAAAGTAGAAATTTTCTGGAAATACTTTCGAAGTGCTACTCCTCCTACACTTTTTGTCTGATTTCAGTATAACTTGGCATACAAGTAGACTACACCAAGATGCATAATTGTCATTATTGTTTTTTGATTTTGTTGACTGATATTGCCATGGTTACTTAAATCGAAATTTCTGTAAAATTGTTTAAAAGGCTCCTCCTACAGTTTTAGTCTGATTGCAATAAATCTTGCCACAAAAAGAGACTAAACCAAGGATCATTATTCTATTTATTGCTGTTGCAGAGTTTCAGGTCCAAGTACTACTTTTATCTTCCTTTATAAGTACAACCAGTAGAGCTACAGTCTCGTCAGAGACTTCTGGTTATGTAAGCAACTTCTCCAAAAACACGATCTAGAACCACTTGATAATGGGACACTTTAAACACATTGGTGAAGTCGGGTCTCCAGCACACGTAAAGGTATTTTCTTACTTCAAAAGCTTTTATTTCTACCAGGCACTGGAGCAGGTACCTTTTTAGCTCACCTGAGCCAAAGGCTCAAGTGAGCTTTTCTGATAAAAATTTGTCCGTTGTCTGTCGTCGTCGTCGTCGTAAACTTTTCACATTTTCATCTTCTTCTCCAGAACCACTGGGCCAAACTTGCCACAAAGTATCCTTGGGTAAAGGGGATTCAAGTTTGTTCAAATGAAGGGCCACGCCTTCTTCCAAGGGGAGATAATTAGGAATTCATGAAAAATTAATGGCATCATTAAAAAATCTTCTTCTCAAGAACCACTGTGCTTGAAAATATGAAACTTATGTGGAAGCATCCTTAGCTAGTGTAGATTCAAGTTTGTTCGAATCATGACCCCCAGGGGTCGGGTGGGGCCACAATGGCCGATCAAAGTTTTACATAGGAATATATAGGAAAAATCTTTAAAAATCTTCTTCTCAAGAACAGCAAAGCCATAATTGGTCATATTAACATGGAAGCATCCTCAAGTAGTGTAGATTCAAGTTTGTTCAAATCATGACCCCCGGGGGTCAGGTGGGGCCACAATGGGCGATCAAAGTTTTACATAGGAATATATAGGGAAAATCTTTAAAAATCTTCTTCTCAAGAACAGCAAAGCCATAATTGGTCATATTTACATGGAAGCATCCTTAGATAGTGTATATTCAAGTTTGTACAAATCATGACCCCCGGGGGTCGGGTGGGGCTACAATGGGCGATCAAAGTTTTACATAGGAATATATAGGAAAAATCTTAAGAAATCTTCTTCCCAAGAACAACAAAGCCATAATTGGTCATATTTATATGGTAGCATCCTCAGGTAGTGTAGATTCAAGTTTGTTCAATTCATGACCCCCGGGGGTCGGGTGGGGCCACAATGGGCGATCAAAGTTTTACATAGGAACACATAGTAGAAATCTTTAAAAATCTTCTTCTCAAGAACAGCAAAGCCATGATTGGTCATATTTACATGGAAGCATCCTCAGATAGTGTACATTTAAATTTGTTCAAATCATGACCCTCAGGGGTAGGGGGGGGGGGGCCACAATGGGCGATCAAAGTTTTACATAGGAACACATAGTAAAAATCTTTAAAAAAAACTATTTCTTAAGAACAGCAAAGCCATGATTGGTCATATTTATATGGAAGCATTCTTAGATAGTGTACATTCAAGTTTGTTCAAATCATGACCTGCATCTAGGATATATTTTGTTGATGTGCACCAGCTGGGACGGAAGTGCAATAACGGTAAGGGACGGAAGTGCAATAACGGTAACTCTAACTTTATAAATGTTCTGCATTAAAAAAAAATTCCAGGCTTTGCAATAACAATATTGTGAAATTTGGTTGTCTAGGTCGTCTGTTAAAAGTTAATCTTCATCCGTCAGAATTTGCTAGTTAAAGTTATCTTGTTATTCACAGAACTTACCGATACGGTTACATGTTTATATGAAGAGAAAATTCGGGATTTATTCCTTCTCGCATTTAATGTTCCGAATGACATTACACGTAATGATGATACCCGAAAATACCGGACACTTCCGTCCCAGCTGGTGCACATCAACAAAATATACCCTAGATGCAGGTCATTTAATCGAAATATTTACAAATCGGGGGCACATAAAAATTAAATGGAAATATGAATAGGAAGAAGAATGTATAAGGAATTTATTGATGTATGCATATTCCATGTTTTCTTATTCTTTCGATAAATAATCAGGCGAAGTTTAAGCGAGGTGAGGCAGACGATGAGAAAAGAGTTGCAAGCCTTCTCTCTTTTTATGTATCAGTCGAAAACGATATATTTAAAAACAGCTTATAGAAACAAAAGAGTTACATTATTGATAACATACAGAGTATAAGAATACAAAAATAGGAAAAAGGTGACTCGACCCCAGATTTAAAAAGAAAAAAAAATGGAAGGGGGGGGGGGGGTCCATACCCCAAGTGCCTGTGATATCAACCGTCTTTCCATTTACTCTCCATCGTATGCTTCCACCAGGCGACACTATCATTAATTTGTGTATTCGTGTAAAGGAATCGAACAATCACTCAAAGTATAGAAAAATTGGATTTGCAACTAGCTGAAAGAATTTTAGATACCAAAGGTAAAATTGCATTTATCTCCTTCTCATATTCAATATCTTTCAGTGACTCTTTCTTAGGAAATTTTCAAAAGTTTTTGTAGCTTTTTCAATCCACTCAATCCAGCGGTTGCATATAAATTTACCTGAAACTCTCCCCTCCTTCCTAATGATAAACCATTGTCGGAACGTTGTTAAAAAGATTAATCTGTTTAAACAGTTTACGTATACTTTTTTTCCAGTTAAATCAATGGGTATTGTGTGTTCTTTACATGTATCTTAATTTGGTCTAGTTTCAATGATTAATACTTTCTTCCGTCTTTCTAGTCAGTCATATCTTTCTCTTTTGCTTCTGGTACTGCTACTTTTCCTTCTCAAACCAGAGAAGATCAACAACACCAGTTTTTGTCGAACGTTGTTCAAGTGTTTTTCATCAGGAGAAAAGCATGCAGAAGTGTTCTGCAATGCTATTTGGATTTCATTCATCGGTAGATCTATTTGATCCCATATTGAGAAATAAAACGCAAAGAATGAAGATATATGGCAGAACGAAGTTTACATCATTCATACGCTTGATTTTTTTTACGAATCGATTCTCCACGTGTAAATTGAGAGATTCTTTAATTTGAATTCGCTCTTAAATCTTACAAATCCCATTCTATCATCACTTTATCGAATCCTCGTTGGGTTTTCATTGCTTTGACAGTGAATGATATCATCGAGCAGTATGATTACTATATTCTTTCAGGGAAACTTTTCTTATACTGTTAATTAAACTATATTGCACAACAATTCTTGGTCATGTCCAGGCCCGTAGTAACGGTTTCAAAAAGGGGGAGGCAGGCACCCCCCCCCCCCCACACCCCCCAATAAAAAATTCTGACACGCAAAAAAAAACCTTAACTGTCCAGGAGGGGTCAATTAAGTTCCCAAAATAAACTGACAAGGAAATAAAAATTTCCCAATCCTGGAATTTGCCTGTGCTCGACCTTATAACAAGAAATGAAGAATACTGTACTCAGAAAAAAAGTGCCCCCCCCCCCCCCCCCCGCGTTATACGGGCATGATGTCTTTCAATTTTGGAAACAATGTCTGGTGTCAATATATTAATTTAATGCCCTTTCACAATTGGCGCACGGGCACTTTACACCACTTTGCGATCGGAATGTTTCAGCTTCGCACGAGCTCTCGCATACGTTGCACGATGTCTCGCATTCGTTGCGTGCGTTTTAATGGTCGCATCAAGTCTCCTCAAAATAGTGGACATGCACACTATTCAGACGCGACCGAATGCGATCCAAAGAACTGCGAACGATAGTATTGTTCTCCCGCCTACCTCAAAGTCAATTTTCAGAAGTTAATACATTTGAATGATTTTTTTCATATCTATATAGATATTTTTATGAATTTTCATAAAACATTACTTCTTTGGGAAAACAAAGAGAGATAACTCTATAATTTTGGTAAAACTTGTTTTTCACTATAGAAATCAACGGAAAACGGAAAATATTTTTAAAACATCTCTCCCCCCCCCCCCCCCCCCCCGTGAAACAAAAATTCCTTTTTACAGGTAATATGGACTGTCATTTCACAATTTCATACCAAAGCTTTTTGTGTTTCACGGGGAGGAACATATGTTTACAGACAAAAAACCACAAAAATGCTTATTTTTTTCAACAATTTCAAAGGGGTTTACAACTAAAACATTGTATTTTATTAATAATATATGTTTAATTTTATATGAGTAAAACATGAGAAAAGATTGTGTATTAATGAAAAATATTAAAACTACAATCCAGAAAATTCAGAATAGAAATGCGAGAAAGCAAAACCAACTCACCAGTATGGTCAGTCCGTGTTCAGTGATGTGTGCAGAGTTTAACAAATTGAACACACCCGGTGGAACGTGAACTGTTTTGTAAACAGGCCACGAGCTCTGTTATTGTTAATGTTTATGTTTCAAATGTCTGAATGACATTGTATAAGAGCAGAACATCATAACATCTTACCCTTAATATCCAAAAAAAACGAGCTTGTCTGTATAAAAAATGTAACCTGTTGACATTTTGTACATTGGACTCATTGATAAATTCTCCAATCAAAAATTGATCAATAAAAATTCCTAGGTACTTAACTTTTTTTATAGATTGCATTGCATGTCCATGAGACTCAATGTGAAAGTCTTGAATACGTGCAAGCTTCTTTAATTCCTTGATCCAAATAAAATACATTCTTTCCTATAAGCCAATATTAACATTGTTTTAAAACAGTACCAAGTTTTTCTGAAATAAAATCTTCATTTTTATGAGAAAATAAGATTGCACTATCATCAGCATATAAAATAAGTTTGCAGTCAGGATCAATACTGGATTCAATATCAATGTCATTGAATAAAAATAGTAGAGGGCCTAAACTACTGCCTTGCAGTACCCCACACTTTACTATACCCGGGTCTGATATAATATTTTCTAATTGTAAAAACTGTTTTCTATTTGATAAGAAAGATTAGAATCAGTCAATAGTATCAATAGCCTTTTGAAGGTCCAACATGACCATACCTGTAAACGGACCCTTGGATGTAAAAACTTCTATAAAATCAAGATCTATAGGCACCATTCAAAAATATGTACAGACAGATAGACAAAGTGATATGACCCAAAAATTTATCAATCTTGCTCTTATAATAAAGTACTTAGGTACAAAATTTGAAAACATTTTGCTGAAAACTGTTGAGTTATCGCGTCACAAATATACAATGTTTTTTGTAGCTCTCAATCACCTTGGAGGAGTACGTTTTGGCGGGGTTTTTGGCGCTGAGTCTATTGACGTCTTTGATAGTAGTACCTCTGTCCAAGTTCCGAATGTCTCGTCCATACGGTATAAGTCTTATTGTACTGTATATCATCTTTCTGGTGGTGGCGCTGCTTACAGAATCAAACATCATCACCGCTGATATCAACTAATGGACTACTGGAGGTAGTTATTAAGATTTTGCTCAATGAACTACTTTCGGTAATTTTTGGAGATCGAAGTTATGAATGGATTTAATTAACATCCAAATAGTAATTTTCATACACATCACATACATGATTATTTTTTTTTTATTTTAGGCATTTTTGTTTTTTATAAATGGTGCTTAATGCCGTTGCAAGTGAGTTAAGGCTATATATAAGCGTTTCTATGCAGATGAACTGATAAAAATTTATAAGGCCTATACCTATTATACAGAGAAGGTTGAAACTTATTTAAGGAATAACTGTCTAATTTTTTGGATTCATGATGTGATCAATCGAGTGGCTTGCGTGATAATTTGCATAAACGCCGAAGGCGTTTATGCATAAAATTATCACGCAAGCCAATCGATTGATCATCGTCATGAATCCAAAAAATCTGACAGTTATTCCTTATATTTACATGCTCCTGATTCTACAAATTCCCGTGTTAATAGCCCCGCTTCTGTCTCTATTTGTCCCGCCCCGCACGTGATTTTTTTTTTAACCGCGCCTATCGATGAACCAGTAGATTTATGTAGAAATAAAGTATTTTTACAATTTGTAATTTTATCTCGGACAAAGACATTGGAAATGTAAATATTTTCTAATATATACAATTGGTACCCGTGACGTGTAAACCACACAAATATCGACTATTTGTAAAGCTTTTGAGTTGAAACAGGGTAAAAATTCGCAGTCCTTTTTAAATTTTCTCAAATACTACTTATCAAATGGGAAAGTGCATAGGATTTGTGCAGCGATATACATTATTTATGCAAAATTAAATATATGCCCTTGCGCTGAAGCTGTTTTGTAGATGTGTTTTACCTCTGGTAGTAAAGATCAATGACGTCTTCATTTAAAATCAGCAGACCTGATTAATCCACCTTATTTCAAATAAATAAAATGCATGTAGATGGTATATGTGCTTCTTAATCCCCGTTATCTGGCTACAAACCGCGCCCGTCTTCAAATTCTCGTAATTTTTTGTTTTGATACAATTTGAGGTCATCGTTACAGAATGATCAATCGATTGGCTTGCTTGATAATTTTATGCATAAACGCCTTCGGCATTTATGCAAATTATCACGCAAGCCAATCGATTGGTCACATCATGAAACCAAAAGATTAGATAGTTATTCCTTAAATAAACGCAACTGGTGAGTGCAGATTCATAAAGGGAAGAAAAAGAGAATATGTAAATGTAAGAAAATGAATTTAAACTTTCTCTGTATAATTGATATACCTCTTATACCTTCTATTATAGAAGTCCCAATCTTAGGTATTTTTAAAGTTGAACATTTTTTTGTACGTTCCTTTAAGCTAGAAAAATACTATGGTCACTTTTATGTATAACAAACATGACACTGTTTTTTTATTCATTCTTAGACAATCACCTCAGCCCCCCACCCCCACCCCCTACAGACAGGTAAATACACAAAAAAATGATAATTATAAAATCAATCGTTGTTAGCGCTTAATCACAATGTATTATACCATAGGAATAATGTGCTTATTCAATTTGATACTCAGTGTCGGCTTCCAGTTTTTCGTCAGTATTTGCCTAATGCATAAAGAACTTATATTTATGCCAAACAGGATATCCAGTGTGATATACATATATTTTCTATTGTGCAAAACCGCGTTAAGGTTATTGAAACTTGCCATTTGTAATTTAGAGAATATACGATTCAAATAACTAAAGCAGTTCGTTTCGATAGCTTTCACGCACACGCGATATTGAATGTTTTTTTTATAGCATTTTTAATTTACTGAAAAGGGAATTTAATTGATAGTATTGGCAAATAATTTTTAAAATTTTTTATTATTATTATTTCGGTTTTTATGTACAGTAATTGTATTAAAAGATGTGTAACTTGATATTATAATTGGCCATTTATGGTAAGATAAACCTTTCTATTTATATTTCTTGTATGAAATCCCCATGTTTGTATGCTTGCAATGGAAACATGTTTAAAAATTGTAAAGAAAAAAATCTTATTATATGTATAATCTGTAACTCGTTGAAATCTTTGATATGTCTATTTATTTTAAGGTAAAGGTAGCGTACTTGCAAGTTTTTGCGTGTTCATGACTGTGCAAATTATGGTTCGATCTCTTTGATATTCAAAGTTTCTTTTTGAAGTTTTTTTATGAGTTTGAAATGTTAATCATATCAGTGCCAACTGTGATAAAAATATAATAAATTTACTATACCATGTTGGATAAGATTTGTTTTCACTTTTGCGCGGTTCTGTAATATTAATAAAAAAGAAAATTTTGTCTAGCTCTACTTTTGGAGTTTGGGAATTTTATATTGGACATCAACATTATCACGACATCGACAGCTTGTTTATTTTAATTTACTTGACACGTTGGTACGTTGTGATGGAATCATCGAGTGCAGAAAATTCTTTCGAATAAAATTGAATGAATGACTCATTAAAGTTTATTGATTGTCATGATATTTGTGCTAAAGGTCTATTTGGCAGTGGATTTTAATTATCCAAACAATCTATAATTAGAGTAAATATTATTAATGAAGATCGAAGGTGGTAAATTAATTAGTCAGTCATTAATCTCGCGCGTGCCTAACTACCGCGTTAATCCTATTAGGGATTATTGTATGCACGGAGTCGAACAGAAGGGATTTAACCGAGTAAAGTGTTGTCATAAGTTTTATTTAAATTTCGTTGAACGTCCCAATAAATTCCTACGTTGTGTAAGATTTTGTGCCGGGATATTTTAGCAGTATTATAATCAATAAGTCTTTTCTTCTCCTGCATGTGGACAGCCGATTAATATTCGGATCTTTTCCATGTCGAAATGTACTTATCGGGCTGAGTGAACCTCTTTGTGAAGGGTTGCGTTCAACAGTGAGGCGTAAACAATGCGCATATAAATAAAAATTAAAATTTAAACCCCGTCGACAGATATTATAATAATTTTAAAGAAACAAGTCAAGGCGTGAAGAAACCTTAATAACTTGATACCCCAATGACAAAACGTAGCGCGACCTTTGTGCATTCCTACCAACAAGTGGGTTTGTGATACAAACAATCGTATTTAGAAGTCGATCTGTGTTATCAACTGATTCCTGTGTAGCGATCTAGACGGGACATTTTTACCAGTCTACGTTGGTGTTGTGATATTCTACGGTGGAAAAAACTAGGAGAGGAAGAACTAGCAGATGTCATAATTACGGAAAGTTTCCCGTTTTTCATAACCTTTTTAAGACTTAAAGACAATTTTATTAAATGATGGAGTTGGAGTGAGAAGCAGATGACAAGATGACAGACACAGGGGACCAGTCGTTTATCAGGGTTAAGTACGGGGGTAAGTACTTTTGGGGGAATGCTCTCAAATGGAAGTTTAGAGACAAATTTAAAATTTTGATGATATTAAAAGCACTGTATCCATTAAAGCGAAAAAAATAAAAAATAATTTATATAGCAATAACCGTCTTGAGATTGAAAAACATGCACATAGTGAATTCATATAAAGATTAATATAGAAAGTATATAAATCGTGTGTTTATAAAAAAAGTTTAGTAAAGTATTTATAGTTGATTATCGTTGATGAGTTCTGGACCCAGATTTTTTTCTCTCCAGAAATATGCTTCATTGATTAATGAAAATGGCATTTTCTGAACTTTTCCTTATCGGCAAGAATCTGTGTGTACATTTTATGGTTACATTTAGGTCGTCACATTTATTTTGTAATAAAACATGTTTGTCTTTTGTTCTGCCTCTCCCATACGATTAATTATTTTCACTAAAATTGATCCAATTTTTATTGCTTTGTAATTACTTCCTGCGACCATTTCTCTGAAAAATGAAATAAATTTCCAATCTTTTATTATTTTCTCTGAAGATGGGTTGCGAGATACTATAGCTATAATGCTGCATGCTAATCAATGAGAGAGAGAAAGAGAGAGAGAGAGAGAGGGAACGTCCACTTAAACTTTTATTTCACTGTCCCATTGAAATGAGAATCGATTTCGAATTTTTAAACAGGGCAGCACTGGGTTTGATCAATATTTATGTTCTCTCATAGACCCTTTAAGGAGTTTACCACCCAAATATTTAAACTATAAAACTATAGAACAGATAATTGGTTTTTCTGGCTCTAGAAGATGTTTACCAAGTTTGTATCGAAGAAAACATTGAGCAATTCAATGTTTCTCAAAGTACAACTATGACGTTTATAATCTTAATATAAACAATAACAGAATCAACTGAAAAGAATTTTTCTGTGTTTTAGCTTGCCAATACACAGAAATAAGTCTTTTGTTCGGATCGATTTAACTTTTACCGTATTCATTATCAGTGTTATAAAATCAAATGTTTTTACTGGTATAGACAGACGGGCGAAAATGATAAGTAAAAATCAAAACATTTTATTTTACAATTAACAAAACTTCTAAATTAATTGTTCATTCCAGATAATCAAGAGGCCATTTTTAATCCTTGGTGCTCTAGCTACACATTGCTTGAGTGGATCAGAAAAAAGTGCAATTGTGATAGTGATAGTAAGTAATGATTTAAAATAATTATCAAGTAATTAAGAAAGGTAAGAAAAGAAGTAATCATGACTTAATATCTGCTTTTGACACGTATATTATTTTAGTTAAACCTTTCAAGGATTCCTGGTACAATATACTGTTTATATATATTTGTTTCATAATTCATTTTGTGTCCTCACCTGTAGTTAAGGTACAACTGCTGACATGATGTGTTCCGCTGTTGCCTATTGGGACAGATTGTCAACAATGCCTCATTTACATTGAAGTCTACATTTCCTTCTTAAAAGAATTTCTCTTTTTTTTTTTAAATTAGCTTATTTGCATTCATTTGATATCTAGAAATATTATAAATTTTACAAACTTTGTTTATTGCTACTAAATTTGTCAACCCGTTTGAATTTGTGTCTTGACCCTATAAACAGATGAAAAGAATCGTAACCAACTCAAGGTAAAGGTAGAGATTTTGTGATCCTAACCAAGGTCATATAGACGTCAACGTATTCCAAAATGCAATTTATTATTTACCGGGCCAATGGAATGACCATTAAAGTTGCAGGATGGATGTTCAGAGGCCATTTTGTGAATTTCATTGTGTCAGAGTTAAGTGCCGACGCTCTAACATGTATATTGATGTGCCCTGATATGAGTATGCTCCCAGGGAGTTTATTTCTGTACGTTAGAACAGATTCAGTTCAAAAGTGGTATTTTAAATTTGCAAAGAAGCATTGTGGTTGAGGGGTAAAGGAAAAGTTGAGTTTATACAAAAAAATCTTGATTTAGGGGTTTGTGAATGTTTGATTAATGTGTGAGTAAGTAATTGCCAAACTTGAAACATGAAATTAAAAAGCCTGTCTTGTGTACCATCGAGGGATCATCAATACAGAAGGGACAAATAAACTGGAAAGGGTTTAATACATCACAAGTTGATTAACTAAAAGTTTTCATGAGAGAAACAGAAGTATTAAATAGAAATACCTTGTTGCGAAAAGTAATAATATTTAAGATTGCGAACTTTAGGCTGTATAAAGTGCTACAAAGGAGGTATGAGCAGGGCTTAATGAACTTTTCTATACAATATATGACAATAAATAACAATTTTAATGCCCCAAGGTTTGATTGAATGCGCTTTCTCCGATCTGAAAGTTTCACTGGATGTTTTTAAGGAGGACAGGTAGCGTTTAATTGGCCTGTATTGCTTGTAACGTTTTCCATGAGATAATCTGATTTGAACAACTTCAAAGAATTATGACATAACCCTGGAATGTTAGTGTACTGTGTTATGTCCTTGTAATGTTTGAATTCCTCAACTTCAAAGAATCATGACAGTTCTAAACATAATTTTATATTGTACATTATTTCAGTTTGGCAGATCTATCAGTTTTATTTCAATATCTGTATTTGATTGATTGAAGTATAAGAGAGAAAAGGCATTGCTAATATTAAGCTTGTGTTATGACGTAAGCTTTGGAGACAAATGAAATTGGAAATATTCAGTTATTTTGTCATTCTCTCTCAAATCTAAATTCATCTGGTAAAAAGTGGCCCAAGGCCACGTTTTACAAAAGAACTTAAGACTTAGACCAAAATCTACTTTTGCAATTTATTTTATTCGTTTTGGTGATTAAAATGTGATTTTTTATGAAAATGAAGAAATCAGTTCTATAATTTTATGTAAGTAAAATCTCACAAAATTATAAAGTTGGCGATATTTGAGAACTGTGTGAATTTTTTAAACCTTAGTCGTAAGTTCTTTTGTAAGACAGGGCCAAAAGACTTTGCGTATACATGTCGCAATAGGAGGCGATGCTTAATTCTTGAACAGTGAGCCCTCTTTGAAACTATTTTTGATATTCAGTTGTTTCTTTTTAGTACTTATAGATTTGGTGGATATGGATGGTCAAGTAAAGAATTTGTCTGCACGAACCAAAGAATACGCAAGTGAAGTTGTTAATGGCAGGGAAACATATGTATTAATACGCGTAGAAAGTGAGTACTATTCACAAAAACTCAGCGACCAGGAAACGTATAATATCTGTAAGAAAAGGCATGTTGGGCCATCATAAGTTGTCAATAATCGCGAAGCACTTGTATGGGTAAAAGTGAAAGTTAGTTTTAGTCCCAAAAGTTTAAGTGCCGAAAGATTATGTGACTGTATTTAATATAGATAGTACCTATTCCAGTGACTTGGCGAGGTAAACTAAAAATTAGTGTACAAAGAGAGTGAAAACTGATCACAATCTGTCTGTCAACCTCGATCAAGAAAAGTTTCATATGTATGAAGGCATGCAACAATTTAAATATACATGTACTTACGACTTTTTATAATTTATTAAGAAAGTGTTTTTAAATTTTCAGACAAGGAACGATCTGCGATCTTTTGATGGCGTTTTTTAAAATAGCTAAATATGTACTTTTTTGGTTCACGTAAAAGCCATGTGTATACAACCTTGAATCTATTTAACCTGTTTCACAAAGAACTCCTAAAATTAGAAACCTGCTTTGCAGTTTTCCCTTTAATCGAATTAAGTAGTTCATTAACAGCGAGAAGGACAATTTAATGCATTAAATGGCCATGAATGGGGAATTAAAAGTCGTCAGTTAGGTGGAAGAACTCGATTACCGTTTATTATATGTAGCATTTATCCTTAAAAATTCACCTTATCTTGTAAGAAGAGCTTACAGAAGCATGATAATGGAACCAGTGAATAAATCAGAAGAATACCAACGCGAAGTCCCCATGGATATTCCATTTCTATCCGGATTCAATTATTACAACCACCCATTAATTATATAGCAATCTGAAATATTTCTACCCATATCAGGTTCATTTGTTCTGAATGCTATCAGCCAGCTGGTTTTTGAATTATCAAAGTTGACCAATATTTATCTCGTTAATCTGCCTGTTTCCTTGGTAAACAAAAGACACTCAGACCTAATCGTCTGTCTCATTGTTAATTATCTAAAATTTGCAGCTGTGATTTTAATTCTGTAAGTGCATCCCAAACGAAACAGGATAAAAATGCGATAATCTCGAAGCCCACTTTTTTCACGTTCCTGATAAATAATGCACAAGACATTGCAATTTTATTTGTAGATTGAACAGTACAAATTAATTAACTTCCTTATAATCTAATTCAAGGAAGTCTTTTTTAACCATGGAACAAAAATGAGTTCAATTAGTATAATAGATTAGACACGGATTAATTACTAAATCGTTCTCTGTTAATCTTATGCCATTTCTTTTTTTTAATCAGAGATTGGTGATGGAAAATACAACTATACCTCTCTCCTGAATAATCTTGGGGATGTCAACCCAGACTTATTTGGTATGTATCTATAAAAGTACCTAGGACTAATTAAATATATAGGTACATATGTAACTATAATTCTAGGGAATGTTTCTTTATACCACTATACTGCCATTACAGGTGAATTTCAAATAAAGAATCAGTTTTGATTCCTCTAATAATCATGAAAACCTTGTTATATCAGCATGGAATCACAATAAATGTTTAATTATAATGAAATTATAATATTATATGATATCATGATATAAAGTTACATAACGTTTTTTTTCTTGATCAATTGGGATGCTGGATTGGATCAGCAATTTGAAGAAAAAATTGCAAAATGTATCTCTTGACGTAGGGGTAAGGAAATGAAAAAAACATGCAGTTTACATGCGAGGTATTTGTTGTCGAGATAAGCGGTAAAATGTTATAAAATAGTCCCCTGTAGGTCACAGTTAGTAGCCTTTCAAATGAAACCGAGTCTCTGAACTTTAAAAAAATTAAAGGGACATGACTTGAAAGCATTTATAGAGAAGGCGAAAGGTGAATTTTACACTGTATAAAAATCGCAGCATATTTTCAACATATAAAGCATATATTAAACATTATGTACATGTATATCAAATATGTGAACGTTTAGCCGTAGCTTACTGTAGATCACCAAATTTTCGCGACATCTTATTTTCGCGAGATCAGTATTTGGTATTTATGACGGAGACAAAAATTTCACGATTTCTAGTTACTGTTTTATATAATATATACGAAAAAAGGAAATGATTTTTTTCCGAGCAGACTGTCTCGCGTAATTACGCAAAAATAAAATTCTCGCCAAATAAAAGTGATTGACAATACTATAATTTTCAAATAAAAGTTCGCCATACGCGAAACATTATTATTATGTTGAACATAGTGAAAAACGTGTTAAAAAAATAAATGTATTCACGTGAAAGGCATATATTTAACATATGCGTAATGAATGTTAGAGTTATTAATTAAGCATGTAAACTATGACAGTAGCGGTACTTTACACTATGTTTACAACATGTTTCAAACATGAGCTCGCCATACGTGAAACATATATTCAACATATGAAATGTGCTGAAATATTCACATATGAGGCATATGTTCAACACACATCTATAACGTTTCTCTCTCTCTCTCTCTCTCTATATATATATATGCTTGTTTTATATGAAAACCATACACTTAAATCATATGTTGAACACAGTTTAGGTATTTGACTCGTTTTCTTTGGTAAACTTATTACTTTGTAATCTTATTTTATATAATATCGTATTTCATTTACCTCTTTGATTTTCCCAAGGACGTTTGACTAATTGATAGTGCATTGAAAATAGTTTAGTTTTCGCATCACACCCTGGCAGAAAAACTGCAAACGTTAAGAAATCTTAATGCGGCCATATTTTGAAGAATTTTTTAACAGATCGCTTTATTGCTCTCACCAAACAGTCAAAAATATGTTCAAACAAATCTTGATACACATTTTTTGTATGGAGTTCATGCGTAAAGGGTGTCCCGATAAGGTAAAGATTACATCCTCTGTCCCCATATTAAATAAAGAAATGATTTTAACTTTGAAAAATTCTGATAAATTAGATCAGATCTTGAAGCCAATGACGAGGAACTTCTTTTTAAGTGTATTTTAATGTGATCTTTGATACATGTAGATACTGAAATCTGTTATAAAGTTAGACCAGGGGATGTGTACTTTACTTTGATATCTATGAGAAATCTTTATGTAAACAGGATGTACATTTTCATCGCCAAATTTTAATTTAAAAAAAGCAATAAACTGATAAATAAATCTGTTCTACATAAGTTATATCACATCCTGTTTTAATGTGACAAACCTAATAGAGGCTGTAAATATAAGCGTACCTTTGAGAGATCAAGTATAATTTATTTGAAAACAAATTTGTAACAGGATAAAGAACGAATTGCAATTTTAAAGTTTAATTTATATATCAGGACTAATATTTGAAAAAAAAGAAATCAGGCAAGGGAATTTAAACTCTTCGTGTAGGTTACCTTTACGGAGGTTTATCGAAAGATTAACGAAATGTTTTATCCTGAAGAAGTGGCAATTTATAGACTATTCATTAGTGTATATACGTTTTAGGTTTAAACAATTTTCACTGTCATAATCATTACTGATGTTCTGTTTATTCTAGGAAAATTAAGTGTAATGTCAAGGCCACAGACCAGAGTGAAAGGAAAGAAAAATAACAAACCTCTCAAGACACCAAAGAGTACCCGCAATGAGTCTGCCACCAAGAGACCAAAAAGTAGCGAGAAGAAAAAATAGACTACACATACAGACCACGGAATCATTAGATTATATTGATCAAAATCCAGAATTAAGGAGAATCTCTTGTAGACAATGGTGAAGCTCATCCTTATGATGTAAACGTTAAAAGGGTATATCAGTCATGTATACTAGTATGTTAAATGTCTATACATATTCACATATTTATATATGTTTTTATACTGGTGTATTGGGTAACTATTCTCAATTTTTTGGGAAAATTGCATTATTAGAGTTACAGGGTTTCATAAACATTTACAAATATTCAATCACATTGTTTAATAGCTAAATGCTTTCTAAATTTCAGTAATTTTACAAAAAAACTTTTGTTGTGTTAGACATATTTTTATGTGTTATAGAAATAAAGACAGAAAAATCAACAGTCTTTTGAAATTTTACTTCATAAAATAATGTATATTTACCCATGTTATTTCTTCAAAGTTCATCATTATAGTTTATCATATTATATTGGGAAAAATTATCAAATCTCAAATGCGTATTTTTTTCTTATAATTATGGGGTATTCAAGTTCTTTTAACTTCAAATTGTTATGCATAGCGCAAAAAACATGTAATATCATTGTGAGATATCACAGATCACTTCCAATTTCATTTAATTTCATGCTAAAAGGCATTGGTATTTTACACAAGATTTATAAGAAATGCGATCTCTCTGAAGATGTACGTATATTGTACTTGTATGGGGTGCAGGTGTGTGCTTTTACAGGACCGTTTCCATTTTCTAAGACTTCAAAGCACCTTGAATCATATTAAAATTCTTGAAATGAAAGTTAATGTATAAAATAATTCAGTTTCAAGCTTCATTTTGAGACATTCAATAAATAAACGAATACTCGCCGAAAACATTTCTAGGAATAATAAATAGATTATTTGAGGGATATCAGAGGTAAAACGCTCTGATAAATTTTCACTTAGAATTGTATAAAGGCAAATATCTACATAACATTACCATTTAAATATTCAAATACAACCTTGTAGAATCTTATAAGTAAATAAAAAAAAGTAATCACTGCCGTTGGGTTCCCATTGAATTAGAACAAAAGAATGACTCCACAGCTTTTTGAAAATACATCAGAGGTTAAGTGAAACAACGTAAAATATTTCTCCTTGTTACCGCAGTACTTTCTCTTCCGGTTTGTTTATTCATTCCTCTTCTAAATCATGCAAAGATACTGTAAGGCTGGACGACACTTTCTCAATATTATATAATTTTACCCAAGAATTATGATTGGAGTACATATATTAACAAGTTTCCTCACAAAAGATTGAGGTACATGTACTTTACCAGGCAATTGTAGAAGATGGTATTACTTGTTTTTCCTGGAAATCTCTTGAATTGCTGATATCACAATTTTTGCCGTATATTTGTGTTTAGATATTTTGAAAAGATTTTCATGAGTATTTTACAGTCTTCGGAGTATGCACTTCTTTTTTTGTGATTGGTAGAAAATGCATGATGGGAAAATGTTCATTCATTTCATTGGTTGAAATCCTGTTCAAAATAAGTGATTGTATGTGCCTGTGATCTCATTTTTGTACGACTTGACAAGTTTTCAATCTTTAAAAAAATGACAAAACGAACAAAAATGAAACTGACACTTTTAAAACAATTATTAAAAATCGTTTCCATATTTTCAAAGATAATTGAAATGTTCTTTGGTGCATGGAAACGTTACAGTTTGTGTTTTATTATTTTTTGCTTTGTTTTGCACGATCTGCTATATGGTAGGGCTAATGTCTGTGAAAAGCTGTTGCAGAAATACAAAGTCAAAAACTACTCAAGAATAATTTAGCCTGATACATGTATGTCATTTAACTATTTAAGGTTGTTCCGATGACAAAGGTTTTTGGAAAAAGCTGTACTTGTAATAATTATAAATATGTATGTACTTATTGGTACAAAACTCTATTTGGAAAATGGTTTCACTATATGAAGTTTCTTAATCCGACGACCCTTGAAATTTAACATTATATTCATTTGTCGTATAATCCATCTCGAATCACAACCTTTGTTGCACATTTACTTCTTTACACAAACAATTTGAAGACATCATGCGAGTCAATCGACGTTAATATTATTTATGTCGCCATGTAACACACTTTCAACAAAGGGCTATTATGTAGACTAGCGACAGTTTGATTCCAGGCATACAATATATTACCACATTATGCAAAATGATATTCGAAATCTTCTTCCTTAACAATTTATGAAAGTCACTTTTTTTTTGAAACATTTACGATTCCATACATAATTTCTTCATGAATACACCGTCTATTAGTCTCTTTCCAATACAAATAAAGTGGAAAATGTCAAAAGAAGGATAATTTAATCTACAAAATTCTTTCTACTTTATGAAGTTTTTTTTTTAAGTTTAAAACAATTTTAATTCTGACTGAAAAGATTATAAAATAGCTAGCTATATAATGAAAACTTTGGGTATTTAAGACTATCAAAAAAATTACTATGTAAGGCCATCTTTAAGAAATTGTTTGGTTGCCCTCTCCCGACCGACTGGCCCCACTCAAAACTTTTTTAACCTCCAGGAAACAATTATTGTTTTTATGCATTGCAGAAAACAGATATTGATAATTCAGCATTGATAATTAATTTTTCTGAGAAAAAAGAATTTTCAACCTACCTATCGACCCAATTTTTTCATCCTGAGTTGGGAGAGGGCAAACAAACATTAATTTAAAGTTGGCTTAATTTAAAAAAAAACTATGTGATTTGAAATAGATTAAGAATCATCACCATAAGATATAGATAAACTTTTAATTCAATTTTTTTTTTTTTTTATAAATGATATATTTATTTCAATAACATACAACAAAATATTGAGGCAAAACTTCCGCAGAAGCCCTCTGTATATACCTCACCTGGGGTGCCAGGAGCTCCCTGGATCGGTATTTTTATTATAATATTTAATTTACAAAATAATATACATTAAATGAGAAAAAAAAATTTACATGTACGTATACATATCATTGCTGACATTTCATTTCTATACATATGCTTATATATCATTGTATAATATTTTTTTATAAATAAAATAAGTATCATAGGTGAAATATCTTAATTTATATACTTCTCAAAATACATACACAAAGAAAATCATATTTGGTCAGCTAACTTTTTTAAAAGATGGTAATTTAATTGAACATTTTTTGCATCCTTTGCTACTAAATAATACTGATATAATGATGATTTTAAAAAAGATAGCATTGCATGTGCATTTACATTTTCATTTTGTAATCTACATTTCATTTTATACTTGTATATTTTGTAACCTACAATTGATATGACATTATTAAAAATTTTTGTTGTTTCGTTAAACTCATTAAAAAATCCTACAACAATATTTTTCCAGGATATATTTAATTTCAATATTTTTGATATTTTTTCCCATAATCTTTTTGAATCCGAACATTCTAAAATTAAATGTTCAATGTATTCTACTTGTCCACAACTTGTACAATTTCCCCCCACCTCTTTATTCCATTTACTTACATTATAATTACAATTCAGCTGGTTATGTAAAAGTTTAAAATTGAATTCTGCTATCTGTTTATCAAATACATTTAATATCTTAGCTGTATAAATATTTTTCCATTGACCATTTGTTATATTGAATTCTTTTGACCACTTCGTTTCCATTATTGGCTTTTGCTTCTTTTTAGAAAGTAGAATTTTATAATAAAATCCTGATTTTTCAAATTCTGGGTTTCTACTTTTTCCTTGAAAATAAAAATAGGGTTTTTGTATATTAGTGTTTTTTACATTACAGTAATCTATATTTAGCTTTTTAATTGCTTTTTTCATTATTAGATATTCACATAAGTAATTACTTTTTGATTCAATGATCTCTTTTACATCCGTAATATCTTTCATACCTTCTGTTGTAAACAGATCTTTTACGTATAGAACACCACTTCTTGCCCAGTTTTTTAGATATAGTGGTTTATTGTCGTGTTTAATGAAACTGTTTAACCATAAGTTTTCTGTAATTTTATTACGCGGTGATAACGATTTACATTCGTTAAAACTACAGAAAATATTCTTGTAAAATTTCGAGAATTTGTTTAAAACGTTGAAATCATTCGGATTTATAATATTACTACGTAATAGATATTCAAAGTTTATTCCATAACTTTTTAATGCGTTATCTAAAAAAATTCTAAGCGTAGAGTTCTCATTGTATAGCCTTTTGATCCATCCGGCTTTTACGCTTTTAAGTTTGCATTCGATATCTATTAAACCAAGACCACCCTCATTTATTGGCCTTATAAGTGCATTCCATAAAAAATTGTAAATAATTTTATTTATACTTTTAATGTATTCGACATCTGGATTTTCGAGAACTGTAAACACATATAATAATTTAGACACTATGAGTGAATTAATAACGGTACATTTTCCGAAAAAAGTTAAGGTTCTTGTTCTCCATGAATCTAATATTTTTTTCAAATTCTTTAAGCTTATGCAACCAATTTTTTTCATTATTAGATATTTTGTCGTGTCCTAAGAAAATTCCGAGTGATTTAATAGGTTTATTTGTCATTTTAATTCCTTCTATATCCTCTCGTGTGTTTTTAAGGGGTCCCAAGAGAATACCCTCTGTTTTTTCTAAATTTAACTTAGTACCAGACATTTTCCCAAAAGATTGTATAACTTTAATAGACGTTTTTAAGGATTCAGTATTTTTCATTGGCAAAGTGCAATCATCTGCATGCTGTAAACATTTTATTTCGTCTGAGTGTCCAATTTTGAAACCTTGTATACTTTCAGAGGCATTTATTTTTAATACCATGATTTCAATAACTTTTATTTCAATTAATAATTTTCATTTTCATTCCTACGTTAATTGGATTTATCCCTTTGAACTCGAAATAAAAGATACCACAGAGTCTGACACATCTGTTTCATATTAAGATATTTTACTAGAAAAGGAGTTAATGGCACCCTAACAACAAAACTTTATGATAAAAGTAATGACTTAAACTTTTCTATTGTCAACTTCCCGTATTTATGTAGCAATATACCATTATCACCTACAAATAGAGTTTATGTCTCCCAGTTGATTCGATACGTAAGAGCATGCTCTACGTACGAACAGTTTCCAAAACGAGGCAAGCTATTGACAAACTAGTTGATGAAACAAGAATATTAACAGTCTCGTTTAAAGTCAACATTTCGCAAATCCTAAGGTCGATACAATGACCTTGTCAGCTAATACAGTCAAATGTTGACTGATGTTTTTAGAAATTGTTAGGCCATTACTTTCACTGAATTGTCTACAAATTTTTCCGTTTTCTAAATCATGACAAGGATCACACAGTGGGTGTGACCGGTCGACAGGGGA